TGGAAGCGTTTGGTATCGCAGCCAGACAACATCACACTGTAATTCATCAGGGTCAAATTTGAAACACAACTTTTTTAGATTTTTGGCTCTGATTTTCTCGCATTTTTAGAGTAAAACTTAATATAAAATTTGAAAATAGTATTTTTGCACATTTTTCATAACAATAAAATACGTAAAAATCTTTTAAGTTCACTTTTTAAAACTTTTTTCACATCAGCAATAATCTGCCAAGTGCCATCTTTGAAAAGAGATAAAACTTATGTCTGTGCTTTAAAGCATTCAAGATTTACAACAGTTGGAAATTTTATTTTCAGGTCTATGCTCAAAAAGTGAATAAATGTATTGTATAATACAGCGTAAATATAATTTAGTACCATAAAATCCATTAAAAATACAAAATATTAAATAAATAACATTATCGAACTAAAATTTTTGTTTAAAATTTTTTAAACTATTATTGCCCAGAGATTGTCCACCTACCTGTTAAAGAATGGCTTCATTGACACCTCAGTTCAAAAAGCGGGTATTCCAGGGTTCTCAGGATGCTTAGAACACATCAATGTTATCTGGCAACGAATTCAGTCAGCTAAAAAGGAGAGGAAGGAGCTCCATGTGACATTCCTGGATTTGGCTAATGCATATGGTTCAGTGCCACATGAGCTTCTTTGGGCAGCATTTGATTTTTTCAGAGTACCAATGTCAATAACAAATTTAGTGAAAGCCTATTTTGGAGATTTGCAATTCAGTTTCTCAACTCCAAAATTCAGCACTGCATGGCAATGCCTAGAGGTTGGAATAATGGCAGGATGCACCATTTCTCCACTGGCTTTTACCATGGCGATGGAAGTAATCATGAGGGCATCAAGATGGGTAGTAGGAGGAGAGCGCTTGGCTTCTGGGATGCGACTACCACCAATCAGAGCATACATGGATGACATGACAACCATGACTACAACAGTAGCCTGCACTAATCGGTTATTGGGGAAGTTAACAGATAATATTGAATGGGCACGAATGAAATTTAAGCCCTCTAAATCAAGGAGCATCTCGATAGTTAAAGGAAAGGTAGTAGATAAAACATTCTTCATTAATGGTGAGGCAATACCAACAGTTTCTGAGAAGCCAGTGAAGAGTCTTGGGAGATGGTACGATGGGGATCTAAAGGACACAGTTCGGGTGGGAGAAGTTAGACGACAAGCAGTGGAAGGGTTGAAGAGCATAAACAGCTGTGCTCTACCTGGTAAACTAAAACTCTGGTGCTTTCAGTTTGGTCTACTGCCGAGGTTGCTGTGGCCACTGACCGTGTACGAGGTTTCTTTGACAACAGTGGAGAAGCTGGAAGCGTTGGTAAGTTCATACATCAGGAAATGGTTGGGAGTTCCACGCTGCCTCAGCAGAGTAGGACTTTATAGTAAAGGAATATTGCAGCTGCCAGTCTCTGCTTTAACCGAGGAGTTCAAGTGTGCCAAGGTCAGACTGGAAATGACCTTAGTAGAGTCACGCGACAAATGTGTAAGGGAGGCAGCCCCTGTGTTAAAAACTGGTAGAAAGTGGTCAGCAAAGAAATCTGTAGTAGAGGCAAAGGCTGCCCTTCAAATTAGGGATATCGTGGGACAGGTACAGCATGGAAGAGGGGGTTTTGGGCTCAGTTTAGCTCCTCCTAAATGGCACAAGGCAGGCCCAGCTCAAAGGAGGAAGCTGGTAGTCAACGAGGTGCGACAGCAGGAGGAGAGGATGAGGTGTATAAAGGCCATTTCACAGGCCAAGCAGGGAGAGTGGATGAGATGGGAGAGTGTGGAACAACGTAAGATGGGCTTTTCAAAATATTGTGGAAAGCAAAACACTGGATAATTTTATTTGCATCTGCAGTTTTACTTCCTTTTCCGGGTCAGAACGTCTACATTTGGTAGTTTCAGCAGTGTATAGTGTAAATGCAAAAATCGGATACGGGTCACTTTTAAAAGATGATGTAAGCGGGTCGTCAAAAAAATCGGATATAGTCAGAAAATCGGATTTGGGCATCAAGATCTGCAGTGTAAATGCAGCCTAAAACATCTTCCAGATGAAAAAGCACACATCAAATACAAATCTCTGCAAAGTGTTTGTGCTATATTTTTTACATGTAAAATCAACTGTATGAATTACTGCCCATATTTTAATATTTATATTCTATTGTCTCTCTTCTATTAAAGTCAATTCCATGTGAAGAGATCAATCTCACTGGAGTCCAGCTGTGTGTCCATGAAGAGTGATCGGTCTATGGACACATTAGTAACATTTAAGGAAAAACACACTTCAACTGATCTGAGGTACAATATTTTGGTTTAGACAGACGGATAATAATCTTGAAAAATCAGTTTAAACATTTACTTTATTTTCAAAAATAAAACTGCAACATTTTGATCAATAAGATCTTTGTCGTTTTTTTTTTTTTTTTTTTTATAAAAACTTTACTGGTTTTATTTTTGGACATTTTCCGTGTTTATTGTTTTGATACTTCACCAGTTGGGTAGAATTCGGATGTGTGTCGATTCTTCCTCTTTCTTTAGACAGACAGAAATGCCATTTCATTTCATCCCTCAAACCCTGAGTATTTGTTTACTTACATGTGTAAGACCACTTCACTGAAGCCAAATAAATAAATTACGTTTTAAAGGATAGTGTTTATTCATTTTGCTATCACTTTTACATCATGACACTTTTACATATCACTTTAATTCATGTTGTAATCTATTATTTTAATCTTTCAGTCGTGACTCTCATCTGGTGCAAAGCAGATTCAAAACAAATCTGCTGAAGAAGTTTCAGTGTGTGTATGAAGGAACAGCAAAGCAGGAAAACCCAACACTCCTGAATGAGATCTACACAGATCTCTACATCACAGAGAGTGGAAGTGGAGAGGTCAATAATGAACATGAGGTGAGACAGATTGAGACACAATCCAGGAGAGTAGAAAAAGAGGACACACCGATCAAATGCAGTGACATCTTTAGACCTTTACCTGGACAAGACAAACCCATCAGAACTGTCCTGACAAAGGGAGTCGCTGGCATTGGAAAAACAGTCTCTGTGCAGAAGTTCATTGTGGACTGGGCTGAAGGATCAGAGAATCAGGACGTCCAGCTCATATTTCCACTTCCATTCAGAGAGATCAACTTGATGAAGGACAAAACACTCAGTCTTTCAGATCTTCTTCATCGCTTTTTCCCTCAAACAAAAGAAATATCCAGTGATGAATATAAAGTGTTGTTCATCTTTGATGGTCTGGATGAGTGTCGTCTGTCTCTGAACTTTAAGAGCAAAGTGAAACTGTGTGATATATCTGAATCCGCCTCAGTGGACGAGCTGCTGATGAACCTCATTGTGGGGAATCTGCTTCCCTCGTCTCTCATCTGGATCACCTCCAGACCAGCAGCAGCGGATCTCGTCCCCTCTGAGTGTGTCCATCGAGTGACTGAGGTACGAGGCTTCAGTGACACACAGAAGCAGGAATACTTCAGAAAGAGAATCAGGGATCAGAGTCTGGCCGACAGGATCATCTCACACCTGAAGTCCTCAAGGAGCCTCCACATCATGTGCCACATCCCAGTGTTCTGCTGGATCTCAGCCACTGTTCTAGAGAAGATGTGGAGTGAAGCAGAGAGAGGAGAGATTCCCAAGACTCTCACTCAAATGTACACACACTTCCTGATCATTCAGACCAACATCAAACATGATAAGGACTATGAGAAGAGAGTGAAAGATGAAGACATGATCCTCAAACTGGGGAAACTGGCTTTCCGGCAGCTTGTGAAAGGCAACCTGATCTTCTATGAGGAAGACCTGAGAGAGTGTGGCATTGATGTGGCAGAAGCATCAGTGTACTCAGGATTGTGCACTCAGATCTTCAGAGAGGAGTTGGGCTTGTATCAGGGGAAAGTCTTCTGCTTTGTTCATCTGAGCATCCAGGAACATCTAGCAGCTCTATATGCACACATTTACTGTACAAACGAGAACATAAATGTATTCAAACAAAGTCTGTTGTCTAAGGTTTTAAACCAGATGAAATCTCATTCATTATCTGAGCTGCATCAGAGAGCTGTGGACGAGGCTTTACAGAGTAAGAATGGACATCTGGACCTTTTCCTGCGTTTCCTTCTGGGTCTCTCAATGGAGTCCAGTCAGACTCTCTTACGAGAACTACTGACACAGACTGGAAGCTGCTCCTACAACAAAGAGGAAACAGTTCAGCTCATCAAACAGAAGATCAGGAAGACTCGCTCTCCAGAGAGATCCATCAATCTGTTCCACTGTCTGAATGAACTGGGTGATGATTCACTGATGCAGGAGATCCAACGTTATCTGAGATCTGGAAGAATAAAAGAAATCAAACTCTCCTCTTCACAGTGGTCAGCTCTGGTTTATGTGTTGCTGACATCAGAGCAGAAGATGGATGATCTTGATCTAAAAAAGTTTATTGGAGGACAAAATACAGCAGATGAAGTTCTTCAGAAGCTGCTGCCTGTGGTTAAAGAATCCAGATCAGTTCAGTGAGTCACACTGACAACAATCATTACACTGATAAAACATGATCACATTTATGATTTTAGCAGGAGCTTTCTGACCAAAGCAACAAAAGTGGTACATTTTCTGGTACATGTGAGACACACTTACTAAAGCAGCTGAGGAGTGTGTGTGTGTGTGTGTGTGTGTGTGTGTGTGTGTGTGTGTGTGTGTGTGTGTGTGTGTGTGTGTGTGTGTGTGTGTGTGTGTGTGAGAGAGAGAGAGATGGATTATTGTAGAGGTCAGTATGTGAGACGTGATGAAGGACTGAATGTGACAGAGATCAAAACTGACAGCAAACAGCAACAGTGTCCTTAACAGTGTCTTTTTATATTGATGCTGTTTGTCCTCTAATGATGTTTATGTGAATGTTTTACTGCCTCTAGAAATCACATTTGTAGTTTTTATCCTATGTTTGCAGCTAGTATCAGTTCACCATGTATCTTTAATCTCTATAGGTTGAGTTATTGTGGTGTTACAGATGAGGGTTGGGCTACTCTGGCTTCAGCTCTGAGATCAAACCCCTCACACCTGAGAGAACTGACTCTGTCTGACAATAAACTAGGAGACAGAGGAGTGAAGCTGCTCTCTGATGGACTGAAGGACCCTCACTGTAAACTGGAGATACTGGGGTAAGATTGCATAAATGTGTCAACATCCTCCATTTTCTTCATATGGTCAATAATGAACAAATGAAACAAAAACAAGATAAAAAATTGACTGGTAGATAATTTTGTTTTTTAATCTTCATTAGATTGTTTCCAAAGTTTTAAGAATTGTTATTACTAATACTTATATGTAATGGATAAACCGTGGCTAGCTGTGCATTCAGGCGATACCCTTCTGTTTCAGTCCTGATCACCCTGTCAGGTTTATTCTGTGATGAGAACCGTTTGAATATATATTATCCTGCTTATTTAAGACACATAAGTAAATAATTGGATACAAAGTATTGATTTGAGTTTAAATATAATATTATCAGGAAACTCAATGCTTCTGCAAAATAAAAATGTTCCTAGCAAGCAGATTTGAACCAACACAAATGAATAAGCTCAAACAAGACGACCATTTATGGGATAATATAGAGTCATGACACTTATTACACGGCTTTTCACTAAATTAATAATTTTGTGGACATTAAATATTTATTTGAGTTGAAACTGTTTCAAAATCTTACATGGGGCTGCACGATTAATCGAAATGAAACCACACGCGATTTGGCAAAGCCTGCGATTATTTTTATGAGCAGCTTTTCAGTGACGTACGGCTCTGTAATCAGTAGTAAATGCTGCTCCATCTGAAGGCCAGAGGGCGTCACACACACACACACACACACACACACACACACACACACACACACACACACACACACACACACACACACACACACACACACACACACACACACACACAACACACTCATGCATCATATCCATCTGAACAACAGAGGGCATCTCACACACACACGCCAAATATTCCCCGCCGCAAAAGTGGACAACACACATCATTCCAGGAAATCCCTATGGGCATCATACTGTCGCTGTAGCTGAATAAACAGAAGATTGAAACGCTTTGATTGATTTTAATGACTGATTAATGAAAGTTGCGATCGAATTTTACCTCCGACGAAACTCTGGCAGTGTCAGAAGATTTGTCTCTCAGTCCTGCAGTGATTCTCTTACGACGACCGTCAAATTGTCTTCGTTTTTCAAGACTAGCCATGACCAAAATGAACGTTAGAGATTTCTTTGTAGCCATCAGTTCAATCCCGCGTGTAATGCAGCTCACATCGCCGAACGTGTCATTGATTGATGATGTAAAACTCTGGATGAGTTTTCTTGCACGCGTCCGTTTTTAACGCGTCTTGACTGCCGTACAGTCTGACATCAATGACAACTGAGATCTCACAGTGTGACATGGCTTATAGCGAGGATCATGTTCGTACAGTCTGACAAGCAACAGTCGTAAAGGACGATAATAAATCACACAGTGTGCACCGGCTTATATAACCGATGACTGAGATGCAAAATGGCACCGGTTGTGTTAGTAAGAAACAAGACAGAACGAGTCCATGGTGTGATTCAAGAGACATGAAAGAAGCGCTGGCTTCAGATACTGGGATGAGCGGTGTAAAGCCCCGGTCACACTGCACTATTCCTTCCATTGACTTCCATTTATTCCATTTAGACCAGAAAAGTTTCGCATTTCGCTGCGTTCCAAACTTCAAGTTTGGTGAACTCTGACCTGCAAATTTGCATCAGGTGAAGACGTGTGACCAGTAGAAGATGGAAGTGTAAGGGCCACACAAAAGTATCCAGTGTGTGTCTGAAGGTTTCCTGCGCGTTCTGTCTTTTCCATCTCAATTGTGCCTAACACTGGTGTTATTGCAGTGAAAGGTCTTTAATTTCAGTGAAATGGCGATTCATTATTGTTCTTTGTTCTAATACCATGAAATATGCTGCACCATACCTGCTAATATTTCATATGGTATTTTATCTGTAGCCCTTTATAACTGCATAAATATGTAAGTGCATAAAGAGAAAATCTAGAATTTTGCCTAATGTGTCTCATGCTCCATCTAACCCGGATTCTAGTATATAGTTATACTTAACCCTGGACACAGATTTTCAGTTTAACCCTCGGGGGTCGGCGGTCGCGCCAGCGATACCAGCTCGCTTTTTTTTTCTTATCAGTGCAAAAGAGACTCTAAATACTCTGTTGATTTTGATCTTACATACAAGTGTTGTACATCATTAGATCCTGTTAAGTGCCTATTTTTTGTGGATTTGTTTTTCACAATAAAAACAAAGTGTTGTGCTTTTCGCCAAATAAAGAAAAAAAGAAAAAAAACATGATGCGAGTTCTGTGTTCTCTCTGTCAGTGAAGTCCATTCTGAAACGCGTCCGAAAATGAACTGTAACTCAGCGAATACTCAGTCACACAGGAATACAGGCACACAGGCATGAAGCTTGAATTCTCGTCTTTTAAATGAAGTAATTTATATTAAAAAAAAACAAATATTCTCAGTTTATGTAATCTGTATGAAAAGAGAGAGATGTCAGTCCTTTTCTTTTCAGCTCATTATAGCTCATTAACCCTCTGGGGTCTGAGGTGTTTTCTGGGCCCTGGAGGTGTTCTGACATGCTCTGACATTTGTGCTTTTTTCTGATACTTGTGACATTTTCATGGCTAGAGTCTGATTACACTGTATTCAGCACAAACTCTGCTTCAATAATATGTCAGCAGCATGTATGTAAAAGTTTTTAGTTTTGAGATAATGCTGTTTATGCGTGGTTTGTGAAAAAACTAAAAAACATTGTCACTGAAATAAGGTCATGAAACCCATACTGATTATTTCTTCACAAGACTTTTGAAAATTGTATCACATAGCCTAGACTATTTGCTTCAAAACTATGTGAAAATCATCCTGATTACACATTTAGATAAGTCAATAAAGTCTTTTAAAATTTGTATGACGTGTTTTGTGTAAGAAAGCTTTATGCGGGGAGGCGTTAACCAACCATTAATATTGATGGGTTTCACACCTGAGAAAGACAAAGACCCTCCCATAATGGCCCTATTAGGTGCTATCAGGCCCTATCATTATGAGGAGCCTTGCACAAAGAATGAGATTTAAAAAAGAATGGCTTTTAGATTGTTTGGATTTATTTACAACACAACATAATCCAAAGATACACAACAAAGGACAAATCTAAAGACAGAGGCTTGAACAGTCACACAACTTTGTGCCATTCCTGAAACATAGTACATACCCGTCATTTCCAAGGTGTTTGATTTTTCATTTTATCATGTTCATGTACAGAGTCTCCTGTGAATGTTGAAGTCAGCAGGACTCATCAGTGGGGCATCTGGTCCCTGTAAAAAAAATAATAAAAAAATAAACACATGTGAACATGCTGATATCAAGAGAAACTATAGGGCTGCACGATTTTGGGAATACATTTTAGATTTTTCTGGTTAAAATTATTATGAAATATATATAAAAACACCAAGTTTGTTGTGCATTGTTATAGCCTATGTATAGGGGTGCATAAAATAATAACAGATAGATAGCAGGCAGCCTATATATCGTTAAAAAGGAACACTTCAGTAACACTACACTAGACAAAAATATATGGATTATCATATGTTACTTCAAACGTTTCCATTCGTTATGAAATGAGATTGGAGAAAAACATGAAGCCTAATGTTTGGCGTGTTTTGCTTTTCAAACCCACAGCGCGAGTGACTCAAACTCAGCGCGTGCAGAGAACATTTACTGAAGCGATCGAGCCGCTCCAAACTATGAAACATTATTGTTACATTATACATATCTACGTGTGAGCAGATATCCACAAACACAGTATTTAACAGTAAACACGGGTCTAAACATTATAATATTCACCATTGAAGAATAAGCCTACTTTATATCATGCTGTGTTTAATTATCGAAGATAAAAACATTCTTGTGTGTACATGTATATTCACTCCAATCTCATTTCATAACATTTTAGTCTGGCACCAGTTTAACTAGTAGCTACAATGTAATATACAACCATAAGACGCTTATTATCTGTCTTACCTTAAAAATCGTTCTCATAATCTAATCTTGTTCTTCTAATTCTTCTGAGGCAAATCCAAGGTGCACAGACCAAACACTTCCAAACTCGACGAAAAGCAGAGCAGGACTGAAGTCGCTGAATCTTTGTTTAGAGGTGATGAGGGCGTTGCGTTCCTTCATGTGGATCATTTGAATTTGAACAGCTTGCGCTGGTGTGGGCGTGGTCACATTAGATTTAATGAGCTCGGGCTGAAGAAACTGTACATGTCGTTGCTTTCATATGGATTACTTAAACAGAGAATATTTGTTTTTGGTATGATTTACATCATTTAAAAATGGAGACTTAAAGCTTTGTAAAGACAAAACTCTCACGTGTGGGTGGCAAGTATTTGCTGAGTTAAAGATCATTTTCTGTCGCGTTTCAGAATGAACTTCACATTGAGAGAGATGACAAAACGCGCATCATGTTTATTTTCTTCATTTTACGAAAAACACAACATTTAGTTTTTATTATTAGTGCACACAAATAAAAGTAGACATTTAACAGTTTCGAATGATGTATAACACTGTCAGCGAGCCGCCGTATCCAAGCACCAAGGGCGTGCACGTCGCGCCCACACAGTCCACACTCAGTTTCTCGAGCCCACGCAGTGTGGCGATCAGAACCCGGAGGCCATTCGGCCCCTAGCTGTACATATATAAAGCATGGGAAGCTATCCCAGGGCTTTCAGAATGGGTGCTAAGCACAATAAGGCAGGGCTATTCGCTACAGTTCGTTCGCCGGCTTTTGAGCACGGACCGCGACTACAGTGAATACGGAAGTAGCACATCTACTCCGCGCAGAAATAGCGAAGCTTCTGTGCAAAAGGGCTGTAGAACTGGTACCGCCTTCTCTGAGCGAGTCAGGCTTTACAGCCGTTATTTTCTCATACCCAAGAAGGACGGCGCCCTCAGACCCATCTTAGATCTGAGACATTTGAACAAAGTGCTAATGAAAAGGCCGTTCAAAATGCTTACAACCAGAAAAATCCTCGCGCACATTCGCCCGAGGGACTGGTTTATTTCTCTCGA